ATTATTTATTTATTAGATATTAATTCACCCCAGTCACACTTTTTACAGCGCACCCCTGGTTCTCAGAAATCAGGCTATTACTTCTCTATCCTCTTTTGTTGGGGAGGCTGAGGTCAGAGACCCAGACTTCGTGCGCAGGTTTAACCTTTCAGTCCTGAGATCCAGAGTGTCCTCTCACACAAGTGATCTTGCTGACAAAGCTAATATTGTGGTGGCAATTTCTGTGACTCAAGCACAAAGCCAAACACTTCTTTCTGCAAGTTTAATTCAGCATCTGTAGATGGACTTAGTTCACATCACTTGAATGACATGTACAAATGTGCCAAGAACAGAGGAGAATCTGTGTACTTATAACTCACAGCCCCCTCCCATTGGATGTGTAAAGGTATTTATTCTGGTGTCTTAATCAGTGGAGGGGACAGCCTTTATTCTTGTTTCTGGGGATGATCCCTAGAGAGAGACCCCAGATGTGAGACCCCAACTATATTCCAAGAGATACCATAAAGTTAAGGCTTCAAGAGGCCTTAAAGTTAAAGTCTCTGAGCAATAATCGTAAACCTAAAGTTACCCCCCCCCATAAATAAATACCATCAATAGAGCATCAAAAACATGCCTCCATACTGATTGTGTGTTGTCATCCAAGCTTCTGCAAGACCAGAAATTCATAATTGTCTTGAAACAAGGTCATTTACACAATGTTTTTAGACTTAATGTCCACTGATATCCTCCTCTGAGGCGCGTTCACCTTGTCACGGACACACTGGAAAAAAGCACACTCTCACCCAAGTTTTTCAGCAAAATCCCCCTCTATTTTTTATTTAAAAAAATAAAAAACAGAGGGGGGCTTAAAAACCAGATACGGGGTGAGGTCAGAGAGGGCACTTTGTTGCAGGAGAACTCAGTATGTAAAACATCCAAAGAATTTTTTCTTACAGGTCTGTATGTATGGCTCCTCTCTACAGACAGAGGCCCAAATATGTCAAATGATGCAGAAAAATAAAAAAATAAATGGTTAAAACAGCCAATGAGAGATGGGGGGCGTGTGAATTCAGTTTGTACGATTCCTTTAAATCGAGTGTGCGTCCGAGAACGACTCAAAGACCATCTTGGTGAAAAACCAGAAACTCAACATGTCGGTGCAAAGATCTGAACCCGGCGTGACCAGCCACGAAGATTCTGACTCGAGCYGCGAAGACGTGCAGAATGTGCAGCAGGAGAGACCCGTCACCTCTCTGATATGTGAGACGCCCGTGACCATCTTTCAAGAATCAAGAACCATCTCAGACRCTCCAAAGAGGAGCGTCGTCTATCTGTGCCGGATGCAATCACCCCCGGTCGAGGTGTTCCAGTTCTGGAATCAAATCTTTACCTTTAGCGATCATGATTAGTAGTTATTATGTTCTCTGCAAAATAAAAAATTAATCCACACAACATTTCAACAAATAAAAGAAAGAACCAGAGCAGGGAGAGCCAAACCTGAGGAACAATCCTACATTACACACTACACACTACTTTGTCTGCTGCAGGGTTCGATCCATGGTTACAGTTGAGGGGTTGAGGTTATCTGAAACAGAGAGTCTGAAATGACAATTTAAGTTCAGAGGGTTTTAACCCTCTTCTTTTTTTTTTTTTATGATCCAATGTTGTCTGCCTGGTTTTGGGGTATAAAGCAGGCTTCTAGTGCAGGGTGAATTAGACACCAGAGTCAGTGAAAGCAGGAYGTTGACAAGATGAATCATGGTATGGGAAAACTTTAACTTCTTCTTTAACATATTTTCTCTGGATAAGAAAAATAGAGGCAAACTATAGTGTTGATTTTATTTTTAGAAAATAGCATTTCATCAGAGGTTCAACCTCCTTCCGYACCTTCTGCTCAACGAGTCGTATTTCCTGGTAAGTGATTTAACATCTCTTTGGTGACTTTATGCATCAATTGTCTTTTTTTTTCTGTATGTCACATTTGAATTACCTATGAATATACCTTGTTGCTGAGTCAGGGACACAGATTTTAGAAACTTGCTAGTAACGTTAACATGTCCCTTGCATTTTAATGCATGTTTTTTTTCCTGTATGATAAGACATCTTCGGTTTTTTTTGCTTTTTGAGGTGCTGTATCTAGTTCTGTTTCCTACATTGAAAAGCTTTCTCTTTTCTTGAAGTGACTTCTGACGAGTTTGAAGACATCCATCTCAC